TTGCCCCAACTCTTAATATTTATGGCTGGGTAATTAATGTTTTCAAAAAGACTTTTTCACACAAAGCACATGTCCAGCTTGATAAGCAAACGAGCCGGACTCGAACACACTTTTTTGTGTTCGAGTATAAGCGAATGAAATGAGAACAATAATATTTTATAATGAGTCGAACATGAGCGAGCCTAGTTTACATCCCTAATGACATCCATGTAAAACCAGTTCGCTCGTGTTCCGCTCCTTTACACCCCTAATGACATCCATCTAAAACTCGCACCCGGCTCCTTTACACCCCCAATGCCATTCATGTAAAACTTGAAGCTTAGATAAGTAAAAGAATAGTTATTGAGGGGCGTGGATGTAAATCTTTCTTTTTATTTATTATTATTATTTTACCCGAACCAGGCCTCCCCCACACCATTAATATAGCGTAGAAGATTCTGGACTAATCTAATAAAGGCCATTTGGACTTAAAATAGAAAATTAGAAAACAATGGGCTTCATGATAATCCGCCTCCTAACCGCACTAGGAAATTTAAATATATATATATATATATATTAACTTTACTGTTACAAAGTAGATAGAATTGGAAGCTATAGTTCTACAAAGCACAGCGAAACAGAAAGCAAAGCAAAGAGAGAGAGGTGATCATGGGGTCTCTAATGGCGGGATGGTCTTCTGCAGGGAAGGATTTCAGATCAGGTACAGTCATGAAAAATAAAAATGCAAATTTTGATATTGTTTAGGAGTTTGATGAAATTCCTCTCCGCTCTGTTCCTCACAGAGAAGTTTCAGAGGAACAAATCGCTGACCAAAGAGGAGATTGAATCCTACTGGAAATCAAAGAAGATGAATGATGAAGAACACCTCACTGTACTCTCTGATGTTCAGACTGAGAATCAGGTGAGATTATTTTACTGTATTTTGAGAAAAAAATTATATTTATTATTATTTTATTTATTTATTTTGGTTGCTGGTGAAGATGAATGGAGGATCAGCAGATAAATTTCAGAGATCCATCTCCTTCCCTATAGGTGGTGAAAGAAAAATGAATTATGGTGATGAAAATATATTGACTGATGAGCTTAAGAAAAGGGACGGCTGGTATGATTCTACATCTCACAGGCTTATGTGAGATTTTATTTTATTTTATTTCAGTTTCTGAAAAAAAAAAAAAAAAACTATTACAAAAAAATCTAGTGAAATACAACTTTTTATGAATAGGTAAGGGCCAGGCAGAAGAT